TTGCTAAGAGCTAATAACCTTATAATAGCCATCTTAAAAAATGCCTGTAGTTTAATCCTGAGTTAATGACACTATTTCAATATGCGACTAGTGTAATGAAAAGTTACTAACTGTAGAATTCTCAACATCAGTGCTGTAGTAAGTCTTCCAGTATCTTTTTAGGATGCATATGAGTATTTAGATAAATAACTGTGCCTAATTTATTTGGAAGAAAATATTGCACTAAGGCCTAATTTGGAAAACATTCAGTTAAGCATATTAAAAGAAATTAACAATAATAATTCTCACAATGGAACAGTTTCTCTAAATGAATTCTCAAGTAGGACCCCATCCTCAAACAGGGGAGTGGAGTGCTGAGCTTGTCTGCAGGTTATGTGTAAAGTGATATGAAACAATAAGGTAACATAAAGTTATAGAAGTGTTTGACTTGTCCTTTAGTTTTATGGTCCGTGTCACTGCTGGTTTCCTGTTCTTTTTTTGTAAGAGGTAAAAACAATATTAAGAACCAACTTGGAAATTTACCAAAAATGATTTTTAAAGTACTGCTTTTTATATTCTGATATAAAAATCAACTAAGGGATACAAAAGGATAGGAAATGTTATCTATAAATTGAAATTCAGCTTGATAGAAAGCTTTCACATATTTGTCTTAGAAGCAACATGTTAGATGTCTGATATATTTAAAATTCAATATTTAACTTTTGTAATATTAAAACACGAAATATATATGGTATAGAAAATAAATTTAATATTAATACAAGGCAAATTAATGTTTTAATGATCTAGGACTCAGTCAATTTATTAATGTTATTTTATTGTTACTTTCTAAATGGCTTTTATAATATTAACGCATGAAAACGGGGCTAGTGATGGAGAAATTTTAAATGACAGATACAGAGAGCATTAGAGATTTAAGACATCATTACAATGTTAGCGATCAAAATATACTAATAGAATAATAGGATGGGAAAAGAAACCAAAAGGATCACAAATATAATAATAACTAAAATGTACGATGTTTACCATGTTGCATATTCTAAGTCACTTATACGAGTTCCCTAATTCTGTCATCATAACAACACTGTGAGTAAGGTAAAGCAGTCTCCCTTTCCACAGATGAGAAAACTGAGACACAGAGAATTTTTTAAATTTGCTCAAAATTATACACCAAAGTAGCAATTTGAGATGAAAGACTCTGACTCCAGAATGTAATCCAATAGGACTGGAATCATACGAAGTACAAGAAGAGGAAGAGACTAAAATACATTTCTTTCTCTCTTTCCAATCTCTCTCCCTGTCCCCTTCCCCCCTGTCCCCTCCTCCTTCCTCTCCCTTCCTCCTCTATGCACGCCCAGAGAAGAGGCCGTGTGGGCATAGCGGCGAGACGACACGGTCTACAAGCCAGAGTCCTCACTAGACACCACCCCTGCCAGCAGCACCTTGATCTTGGCCTTCCAGCCCCCGGAACTGTGAGAAATTAAATGTCTAAGGTTTAAGCCACCGAGTCTGTTGTATTTTATGTTAACCTTAATAAACTGATACCATAACAAAAACACATATGAACAACAAAAAAATGACTATACAGCAAGCTGGAAAATAAGTGAGAAAAGAACTCTTGCACAATAGCAATCAAATAACAAGCAAATCCTTAGGAATAAACCAAATAACTATGTGAAAAAAAAGTCTACGTGAAAAAAACCCTGTAATTTTTATTGAAAGACAGAGTGTGCTCCTAGAGATGAAAGCACAATTTCATTAAAATCAAGATAATGTTCATTAAAACTGTAATGTTGCATGTAGCTGATTGGCAAAATATTTTAAAGTTAACAATAATGCATGTCAGCAGGGATACTGGACATCCATGTTGTACACCAAATCTGTAAGACCTTTTGGAAAGTAAGTTCTTGTGAACAAATTTAAAGATGTACATATCCTACAAACAGCACTACCTTTCTTTCATATGCGAACCAGGAGATATGTAAGAGGGCAGGTGTAACACTCATATCGGCATGGTTTATTAGAGCAAAAAAAGCAGTAAAAACCCCCATACTCATCTCCAGTAAAATGGATAAATTTTGGGAACCTGATGTAGGAAACATTTTACATCAGTGAAAAAGAACAAAATGGAGCCATACACTATCAGTATGTTGTATAGCAAGTTGTTGGAAAAAAAAAAAAAACACATGGTATACACTTATCAAATAATGCTTCTATAAAGTACCTAATCATGAAAACTACTTGTTTAGGCATATAAATATATGTAATAAAAGTGTAGATCAAAGAAAAAAATTGTTAAAAATTTAGGATAGTAGATACCTCTAGTTAGGAACAGAAAGGATAGAATCATTAAGAGGGCCATATAAGACTTCAAAATAATAGGAATATATTTTTCTCTAAGTCAGGTGGAGAGTTCACTGTATCATTATTTTTTATAAATAATATTCTGGTAGTCTGTATCTGCTTGACACATGATTGAGATAAATTTTTAAAAACATACAATATATAAAACTGTAAGTGTGGTGCAACAGTAAAAGAGTTAATATAAAATAATAGAAAGTCTACAGGAGCAGCCAGGTGGCTCAGTTGGTTAAGTGTCTGACTTTTGATTTTGGCTCAGGTCATGATCTTAACATCTTGAGTTTCAGCCCAGAGTTGGGCTCCCAGCTGGGCCTGGAGCTTGTTTCAGACTTTCTCTCCCTCCCTCCCTCTGCCTCTCCCCTGCTCTGTCTCTCACTCTAAAAGAAAAAGTCTATAAAAATCCCAAAGTAAATAAAATAGTGACTAAATGAAGAAAATAATAAAAACAATAGCACTGCTAGCCATAGGAAACAATAGAGTAAATGGTATTTAGGAAACTTAGTAGGTATTTGTAAAAATGTAAAACTGAACTATCATTATTCAAGAATAAATTTCAAGTCAATTTATACTAAATTAAGTCAGCAAATTATTTAATATTTAGAAAAACTTTACAAGTGTATCTTAGGTAAGAACCATTCCCCTCTAAAATAACCACATAAAATCAATAGACAATTTGTTACCTAGCAAAAATTATTCCAACAGTTGAGATAGAGAAAGTGTCAGTACTTTAATTTCTGTAGCAAGCCAGAAGTTCAGGAAGCTTCTTTCACTTAAAATTTCTGTATAAAAGATTTTTAAGATCTTTTAATATACAGATGACTTGGAAAAAAATAAGAAAGAAATAATTGACAAGAAAGTGTAAATCTAGTGAGGGCTGTAGTCAGTGTTTGTCTCGAGTATGTATTTATTTATAGAGTCTCAGTGGTTGGTTGGAACCTGGTACATGATCAGGAATTAGACAACTGGGCTGCAGCACTAGAGAACTTATACTGGAGAAGTCTGTATAAATGCAGCACTCCTGAAAAATGACATTCTTTGAAGATAAATGAGAAAAAGAAAAAGACCCTAGTAGGGAGACTTTACCATATGTCCCTGTCTCATTCTTGGCTGTCGGTTGAGTGGAGAGAAAAACAAAACAAAACAAGAAAGTCTTTCCTGAGAGTTTCTAACAATGAACTTGTACTCATATAGATTTGGATGTGAAACCAAAATCTAGTTTACAGGGGTCCCGGGGGGGTTGTACCATGAAGCTCTTGGCAGAAACAAACAAAAACCTTTTCTGAAGAAATGTACCTTAAATCAAACATCAAAAAATTTCCAGACATAAAGTTCCAAGGAACAAAAACTCATAATCAAAGAATTTAAAACAATAGAAAATAAAGACAAAATTTTAAATAACAAAAAGAAGGCTATCAATGAAAAAGTCCATCATTAATCACAGTTGACTGAACATCAAACTTTGGAATTATACAATGAAAAAACCCTTTGGGCTAATTAATAGAAGTTACAAAAGAAATCAATTCATTAATTAATATATTTAGAGCAGGGGATGGGCAGAGACAGATGGGGGGTGGGGAGAGAGAGAGAATCCCAAGCAAGCTCTGCACTGTCAGCACACAGCCCAATGTGGGGCTTGATCTTGTGGATGGTGAGATCATGACCTGAGGCAAAATCAAGATTAGGGAGCTTAACCAACGGAACCACCCATGTACCCCAAGAGTTATTTTTTTTAAACAGAATTAAAGGAATAAAAAATGAACAAGACAGCATCAGAACTGACCAGGCTCACTTGAAAAACAAAAAAGTAGAACCTGTATAAATTAAAAAAAAAACAATTGAGAACAGAAATCCCATGGATTTAACAACAGAATACACACACTTGAAGAGAGACATAAAGTAGTTGTAATAAAAGTCTACAGCAATTGACATGAAGAGACAAGGCAAAGGAAAATATGAAATTGAGGTTAGAATATATCACATTTGTAGAAAATATATCAAATCAGAATTCCAGAAAATATTAGAGAAGAGGAAGAAATACTAAAATTTGAAGAAGATATAATGGCTGAGATTTTCCTAATTTGGTAAAAGATATTATAAATTAAGGATTTCAAAGAATTCCAAGCAGGATAAATAAGAAAAAAATTTACATCTAGAGCAAGTGTTCACGTATATAACTAAAAAAGAATAATAGGAAAAAAAAACAAGTTAATGAAACGAAACATGGGCAAAAGATGTAAACATGTAACTTATAGAGCAAGTGACTAATAATCTGAAAAGATGTTTAGGATAAATTTCTATCAAAGCAATGTAAAATTTTAAAGATACCATTTTCATGTATAAAATTAATGATAAAATAATACTCAAAGTTGATGAGATGCAGGGAAATGGAAATACACATACATTTTTAGTTGGACATGTAAATTAGCTTACTCTTTCTGTTAGACATTTGGGAAGATGAATCATAAGTCTTAAAAACATGCACACTCTTTTTTAACCCAAGGTTTCTATACAGTGGCATTAGTGACATTTTAGGTAAAAGGTTCTTTGTTGTGGGGGGCTGTCTTGTGCACTATAGTAAATTTAGGAAAGCATAGCCTCAAAGTGCGTGCTACTAGATGTCCGTAGCACCCACCTACACCCACTTCCGCACAGTGTCACAGCCACACATGTCTGTACATTGCCCAAATTGCAAAATCGCCACTGGTAAAGAATGGCTGCTTTAAACACATTTCTAGGCACAGGCTGAGTAGCCCAAGTGCTGCCCTCAGCACTGTTTCCAAATACGAACTTTCAAAAAGATGAATTTAAAAGACAAATTCATATAAAATCACAGGAAATTGGTTAAGTAATAATAATAACACAACGCAGTAAAATTTATTCATGCTAAACTTCTTCCTCTCTGCATCTCCCTATAGCCGTTATCCCATAAGTCTCTCTTCTCCCTTTCACAGCCAAGCTTATTCAAACTGAGGGCTGCTGGGGGTGGGGGAGAGGGCAAGGGGGGGTGATGGGCATGGAGGAGGGCACTTGTTGGGATGAGCACTGGGTGTTATATGGAAACCAAGTTGACAATAAGCTATTTAAAAAAAAAAAGCTTATTCAAATAATTATGTACATTTGATCTCTCCCTTACCCCACATCCCACCCCCATTTTTTTACTACCTTTCAAACTATTCCAGTCTGGCTTAGTTCCTCATAGTGTCATGGAATCAGCTCTATGGAGGTTTTTACTCTCCACTTTCTTTAACTTCATAGCATCATCGGCCAGGGCTTATCACTTCTTACTGCATTATCTTTCCTGGACTTCTTTGGTAAGCATATTCTTTTGGTTTTCTTTACATTTACCTCCTTTACAGCTTGTCCGACTCCAAATGTTGGCATTCCTCCAAACTCCTAGCCGTCCCCTCATTATTCTATGTTTTTACTTTGGGCTATTTCACTCACTTTCATGATTTCAATGATTATTTATGAACCGAGTTTACTAAATTTTATTTATGAACCGGATATATTCAATTTTGTGACTCTGGTCAAAGCTATTGTCTCAAGCAACAGACATGTATAGTTAGCTATTTATTTAACATCTCTACTTGGATGAATCAAAGTCATCTCACACCCAAACATGTACAAGATTAAACTTAAGATTTCTTCCCTACAGTTGCCCTGCAAATTCTGATCCATTTCTTTCTCAATCTCAGTGAATAGTATCAGTAAACATTCAGTTTGTCCCTTGTAGAAACTTAGGAGTAATCAGCAAACTTCCTTTTTTTTTTTACTTCATCATATCCAATTCATTTTCAATGTTAACATTATATGTATTCCTAACACTTCTAAAATTAATTCACATCTCCACAAATTTGCTGCCACTCTTCTAGAATAAACTGTACATTTTCTTCAGGGAAGTTTGATAATATATAACAAAAGCCTTAATGTGCTAGCCTATTATCAAAAAGACAAGGGATAATAAGTGCTGGTGAGGACATAGAGACAAGGAACCTTTATGTATTGTTCATGGCAATGTAAACTGGTACAGCCATTATGGAAAACAGTGTGAAGTTCCTTAAAAAAATAAATATAGAAGTACTGTATCACCAGCAATCCCACATCTGGGTATATAACCAAAGGCAATGGAATCACTTCTCAAAGAGATACATGCACTTTCATGTTCACTGCAGTTAACTCACAATAGTCAAGACATGGAAACAACTTATGTGTGCCCTGATGAATGAATGGATAAAGAAAATGTGATAATGTGATACACACACACACACATGCACACACAAATAGTATTCAGCAATAAAAAAGGAAATTCTTCTGAGACAAAATGGATGAAACTTGAGGGCATTGTACTAAGTGAAATAAGTCAGAGAAAGACAAATACTATATAATTTCTCTTTATGTGAAATCTGAAATAGTTTAACTCCTAGAAACAGTAACTTGGTGACTATCAGGGACTGGGGGTGGAGGAAATGAAGAGATATTGGTTAAAGGGGACAAATTTCAGTTTTAAGATGGATTAAGTTCTAGAGAACCAATGTTGCTAAGAGAGTATATCTTAGATGGTCTCACCACACACACAAATATCCTTTTGACTTTTCCATGCCAAACTTGCAGACATAGCCAGAATGGCACCTAAGTATTGTTCATGTTAATTCTCATGTTCATATAATACTATAAACACTTCCTTGATTCCTAAGATTAAAATCAGCCTCTCTCTAAGACATCAAGAATATTCAGTTATATTTGGAGTCATTCTGGGGCTCCTGATTTTGGCAAACCTCCTTTTTTTGCCAAGTCAGATAAAGATATTATCAGGAGGTCACAGACAAAAAATGAAAGCTGTGATCCTACACCTAGGGATGAGGGCAAAAGTCCAGAAGCCTAAAATTTCACTGATACGTTAACCTAGTTTCCAACAACAACAAGATAAATAGAGGTATTTAAGTCTTATTTTTTAAAATCAAGGTTAAGAGATTAATTGCAGAGAAGTGCAGATAACATATTCTAAGATCTTTGTCATTGAAAAATTCCTCAAGTAGTAATTATGCAAAGAAGACTAGCATATGTTGAATTTTTAGAGACAAGCTTAAAGAAAAACTTCTAATAAAGTTCAAGAATCACACTGGGACCAAAAAGTTTCAAAAGGAAAATTTTACAGGCAAGCTATAAAATGTCTCGCTGTCAAACAAAGATTCTGTCTCATCCCCGCTATACAGCTGCACATGTAGGGCAAGCAGCTTACCTGGGGTAACGTAAATCTTACAGATCGCAGAAGGAAATATTTGCCAGAGTCTCTTTTAGACCCGTACACTTATTAATAATCTGATGGAGAGATCTTTCAATTCCAGACTTTACTGCAGTTACAAAATAGAAGTGTTTTTAATGGCTTACTATGCTTTATAAAAATGTGTTCTATTATGATTTTTCATCACTCAAATGTAACATTTTGGACTCAAATGCAAATTAAGCCCTTAGGTTAATAATCATAGACTATTATAGTCAGATCTTATCTACTGAAAATCTTGGATATATCACTGCACCTATTACTTTCATTCACAAGTTAAAATACGAATCAGAAATCCTATGTAAAAGGTCAACTGAAAACTACTACACAATACAATAAATCTATCAGAAACAGGCTATGGTTAAAAAGCAAAGGTAGTGGGGGCGCCTGGGTGGCTTAGTCGGTTGGGCGTCCGACTTTCGCTTGGGTCATGATCTCGCGGTTCGCGGGTTCGGGCCCCGCGTAGGGCTCTGTGCTGGCTGCCAGCTCAGAGCCTGGAGCCTGTTTCAGTCTGTGGCTCCCTCTCTCTCTGACCCTCCCCTGCTCACGCTCTCTCTCTCTCTCTCCTAGAAATAAATTTAAAAAAAAATTTAAAAAAAAAAAAAAAAAGCAAAGGTAGTGTAAGGGCACCTGGGTGGCTCTGTTGGTTAAGCACCTGACTTTGGATCGGGTCATGATCTCATGGTCTGTAAGATTGAGTCCCACATTGGGGTCTGTGCTGACAGCTCAGAGCCTGGAGCCATTTCGGATTCTGTGTGTGTCTCTCTCTCTGCCCTTCCCCCGCTCACACTCTGTCTCTTGGTCTCAAAAATGAATAAACATTTAAATACATTTTTTAAAAGCATAGGTAATGTAAATATATATCTTAAGACTATTCCATATGTTAAGTATTATTTTAATAAATAATACTTGGCTCCGTCCTTTTTATAAAATATATAATAAACTAGAGTATAATAAATACATACATATGCAAATTAACCTATAGATCTATAATAAAAATTATTTAAATTTCTATTTTTCCTGAAGCCTACTGACCTCAGGAAGACTGAGACAAGGGTAATCATAAGGAAAAAAAATATTGAAGAATTTCGGCCCCAGGTGCATTGTGAGAGAGAAAGAGAGAGAGAAAACACTTAAACTGAAAACTTGATTATTGAAGGCCAACCTCATAAGCAAAATATTTTCCCTCAATTACACCTAATTATTTAATTGTTTACATTTACTAATGAAATGAAACAACACAAAACAAACAACTGTAAGGGGCTGTTTTTCAGCAAGTACGTAATCATCAATCAACATGTACAGAAAGATTCTTAAAATTATATGAAGCTGGTCTGTTTAAATAGAAAGGCATATTTTATCCCAATCAATGCATAAAAGTAAAATTATCCATAACTGAGGCATGTTTCTCTGCTGTACAGTTCAGCTGTAATGATCCCCACACACTGCACTTGCACATCAATTATGATAATCATAATCACGGTCATTAAGCTGAATGTTCATTATTATCAGGATGCTGGTGACAGCAGATTCAATCACCGGGTGCAATGGGCAAGCAGTCACAGTCCCACCCAAGTTTCTGCAGACAGCGATGTGCCACATTAAATCTATGATGTGTTCCACATCCCACTCCATTCCAAAAGCCATAGACGGTAAAGGTCAACTTTATGTTCTGTGCAATATGCTTAGGTTCTCTAAATTAATTCTTTGGAGTACTAGATATTTTTATGCTTTGTAGCTTATGAAATCCTGTTTAAGACCAAAATGCATGTGAAAATAAGAAAAAAGGGCTGCTCTACTGTTGTAATTCATCTACAATAAGGCATATGAAGAAAGGCTCTATAAACATGAGTCTCTTCCTGAACTCTGCAAACATGGGAAAACATGAAACAGTTCCATTAAAATCAGTTGTCTAAAATGCATATGAGAACTCATTCCAATTTAGATAAAGGCCTTAGACTATTATTTCTGCTTCGATAAATATGAACATATGTGAATGTTTTGACAACCAAAAGAATGCTTCTAGTATACCGCATTTTTGTATTGTCCAACTGTTTTAGATCCACCCAAATAGATTAAATTAATAGTGACTGACTGGTATACACTTCTTATGGAATTTCACTTTTATTTTAAAAATTGGTATCAGCACGAGAAACACTTTACCTGGACTTAAAAATTTGGACCATTTAAGACACAGGCCCACCAATTTAACAACTTAAGCTGGGTCATTTTACGAATAGATTAAAGAAATATAAGTAAGTGATAAGATATATTTTATTATATAGTTTTTCTTATAGATTTCCATGCTTTTAAGAAAAATACTATATATGTTATTTTTCATTATTGATCTTCATACTATGAAGAAAAAACTACTATTTGTTGACTTTGTGATGTCCTTGAATAGTGTTGTTTGGATCATCAGCATTAAAAATAAAAAAAAAATACTAAATAATGTTTGCTATTTAATTGATATAATGTGAATGCGATCAGAGAAACAGTATCTAAATAACATTTGATTTTCTCTCAACTGATACCTTTTAACATTGTGTCACAAGTCATTTGAAAATTGTTACCTCCATGATTATAGAAGATAGAAAAGAAAGGGGTGATCTTAAAGATAGTCTTAAAACATGATGAAAAAGGTGGACAATAGGAACCACCTACATTTAATTGAGCTGTTTCATGGCTGAAATCAATTTACTGCTTTCAACTAAATGTTACATACATTTAAATGTTTGTAAACAGTCCATCTGCCCACAGAGGAAGCATAAAACCAGGTCAGCCTTTCCTTCTTCAATATTTGGGCTTTAATAACTCTAGTTTTCCTAAAACTATCCTTACTCCATGAATAATGAATACATTGTTGCCTCCTACCTCAGTAATTAAGAAACTAAGTTTTATAAAAATAAAGAAAAAGAAGCCTACTTTAGCAGTTTGCTAGACCCAATTCTCACTCAAATCATGTAATATCAAGTCAAAATATAAATTATGTATAATGGTTTTAAGGTTTAACATATAAACAACAAAATGGATACCTCTATATTGTGCGGATTACATTAGCCATACAGAAGGATGATTTGTTTATTTATATGGTTATTTGAAGAGATTAGAAAACAGGAAGAAATAAGGAAGGAAGGGAGGGAAGGAGGGAAGAAGGAATTTCAAATTTTTTGTGTTTATTTATTTCTGAGAGAGAGAGAGAGAGAGAGAAAGAGACAGAGACAGAGACAGAGACAGAGACAGAGACAGAGACAGAGACAGAATCCGAAGCAGGCTCCAGGCTTTGAGCAGTCAGCACAGAGCCTGACGCAGGGCTTGAACTCATGAACTTTGAAATGATGACCTGAGCTAAAGTTGGATGCCCAATCGACTAAGCCACCCAGGCATCCCTCAATTTGTACTTAGTATTTTTCTACATGGTTTTATGCACAGTTAAGTGGATTCATGATTTAATAAGATTTTTTAAAATCCCTACACTTTTTCCTCTTAATTTTGGGGGCCTACTAGAACAACTATTTGTCATTGACTTTTTAACTATGTATACTTTCTAAAAGTATGTGGAGGCACACAATGATTCCTCAAAAGAACAAAATAAACTACTTTTCTCTTGAGGGAGTATCCAAAAATCTCTATATTTCCATGAAGTTGCTTACTTCAGTAAGATACATGCCATTTCTTTTTAATGTTTTATTCATTTATTTTGAGATAGTGTGCACCTGTGCAAGAGAGAAAGCAGGCACAGGGGAGGGGGAGAGAGAGAGAGAGAGAGAGAGAGAGAGAGAATTTAAAGTAGGCTCCATGCTTAGCCCGGAGCCTGACAAGGGGCTCGATCCCACTACTGCGAGATCACTACCTGAGTTGACGTCAAGAGTCAGACATTTAACCAACTGATCCACCTAGGCACTCCAGATAAATGCATACTCCTGGAATATGTCAAAATGTATGAGGTGAATCTGTCCTATAAAACCAAAAAGTACTGTATTATTTTAGGACAGAACCATTTGTGCAAGGATCTTTCTTACTCTGAAGTAGCTTAATGTCCGCAGGTAAGTTATTTATATTTTAAAGAAATGAACACTTCCTTGAATTAAATAAAATGGTAAGAGGGCATAAAAGCAAAAGATGTTTATGTCAAATAGAAATAAGATGTATTTCATATTATACACATTCAAAATATGAAATTAAATAGTTTGAAAATTATAATTAGCCTATATTCTGAACGATTGCATATTAGGTAAAAACAAATGCCTAGAATACGTCATCACCAAGTATTTAGATTTGCCAATCAGTGAGCCAGAATGAACTACTCACTGTACACATATTCCTTATGCTGTGGAATAATTATTTAGTATTTTAGAGCAATTTTAAAGAAAGATGACTTCGTAGGTAGAAAAGAAAAAGGCACTTTCTAAAGTATCCACGTCACTCTCCAATGACTTACCCTTGGTAATTCCATGGTTACAATGTCCTAAAAAAAGACTTTTTCTTAGAGTTTAGTAAAACAAAGAAAGATCTCATTTTTCTTAAGTGTTTAACATGTTTCTTCCTTGAGTAATGAGGATATGTCTATAACGTGTGTTTTCCTCTTCATCTTCACCCTCCACAAGCTAAAATTCCTGTCACCCACTGCAGTAATGTTTCCTTTATTTTGCAAGCAGAGATACTGTTCTCATTTAAGATCACTTTCTCTTATTTTTATTTCTAAAATATAATCTTTACTGTATTCGCCTTTTAGTATGGTGCTTTAAATCCTTTTGGAAGGAGGCTGTGTGTAAATGAGTAAATCCTCATTGACAGTCTATTAATAGAACCAATATGTCTGATATACTATATAGAACTCAGTGGCTTTAACCTTTTTCCAGAAAGTCACTAACAACTTAATTTTATCTGTGTAATTATTTTTATAATTAAGTTATAGCTTCTGTTAGATAATGGGACAAACACATAGTACGAATTTTCCTTTGCCTCATAGTGTGCAAGACATTTTGGTGTTTTTCACATTTAGAAATTTTTATCTAGATGCTAACAAATATAACTCTGGAGTCATTTAATCTTTATTTGCCTCTTCTTTTCTATATCATATCATATATCTCTATCTATTCCTCTATGTATCTCTGTATCTATGTGTCTATTTATCTATCTATCTATCTACTTATCTACCTACCTACATACATACAAAGATTGAGAGAAAACAACCGAGCCTGAGAAGTGGACTCTATTCTGTGACCACAGTCAAACTTTGACTCTGACTGGCTTTGGTAAAGCCACGATGCATGTTATAGATCATAGGGGAGCTGACATATAACACTAGAAAACAAAAACCCAAACCTTTCACTGCCACAGGTCAGTAGCACCATCTTTACATAAAATAGCTATAAATAATTTTATAACCAGGAAGGTGTTAACTGTAACAAGAATATTTATATTTGTTGTAATCAGTACATCTGTTTAGCCAGCCTTTCAAATGTAACATCATTTTTTAATGTTGCATTAACTTACCTTGTCACAGATCCATTTCTTAGGATTTTCATCTCTAAAATGTTGACTTCCATAAGAATTGGAACCATACTTGCTCGATGAATGCATTAACGGGATGTACTTTTTATTTTTATGGTAGGAAGAAAATGGCAGAAACCTGAAAGATTATTAAAGTGGTATTGTTAATTTTATTTCTACAGATACTTGATTAAAAAATTAGAATTTAGAGAAGTAGTAAAGCATCGTGAAAATAAAACATGCCTTGGATTCAGAATACCTGGATCCCACTTCAACCTCTGGCACTATCTCTGTTACTAAATTTTATGAATCTCCATTTCTATTCAGCAAATGAAGATACCAAAACTTTTCTCACAGAACTTTTTATAAGTCTGAAATATTTTGGAAACAGAAAAATTTAAATAAACATAAATTAATTATGTCAATTAATGTATTTAAAATTTATTAAAACACTCTTAATTTAAAAATGATAACCAAAAATGAAAAGGATGGCTAGTGTAAAAAATTCTCATTGAAATTGGTTGTCTTCAAATCTACTTTTCTTTTTTTTTATTGAAGTATAATTGACACACGCAAGGTTATATTAGTTTCAGTGCGTAGTATAATTCAATGTTTGTATATATTGTGAAGTGATCATTACAGGTCTAGTTAACATCAGTCACCATACATAGTTAAAGAATTTTTTTTCTTGTGGTGAGAACTTTTTAAGATTCATTTTCTTAGCAACTTTCAAATATGCAATATGGTATTACAAATTATAGCATCATGCTGTACATTACATCCCAATAACTTATTTATTTTATAACTGAAATTTTGCACCTTTTTGATTCCCTCCACCCATTTCATCTACCCCCCACTCCCCACCTCTGGCAACCACCAATTTGTTCTCTGGTATCTACCAACACTTTACTTTTTCTTCTTTCTTTCTTTCTTTCTTTCTTTCTTTCTTTCTTTCTTTCTTTCTTTCCTTTCCTTTCCTTTCCTTTCCTTTCCTTTCCTTTCCCTTCCTTCCTTCCTTCCTTCCTTCCTTCCTTCCTTCCTTCCTTCCTTCCTTCCTTCCTTCTTTCTTTCTTTCTTTCTTTCTTTCTTTCTTCCCTCCTTCCTTCCTTCTTTCCTTCCCTCCTTCCTTCCTTCATTCCTTCCTTTCTTTCTTTTCTTTTTTTTTTTTTAAGATTCCACGTATAAGTCAGATCACATGGTATTTGTCTCTGTCTGACTTTTCTCACTTAGCACAATGACTTCAAGGTCCATCCATGTTCTTCATTCTTGTTTATGGCTGAATTATATTCCATTGTATATACCACATATTCCTTTTCCATACATCTACTAATGGACAAGATGTTTCTATACCTTGGCTATTGTAAATAATGTTACGATGAACATGAGGGTGATTATATTTTTCTGAGTTAATGTTTTTGTTTTCTTCAAATAAATATCCATAAGTGAAACTGCTGGATCATATGGTAAGTTGTTCTAGTTTTAATTTTTTGAGGAACTTCTATACTGTTTTTCACAGTGACTGCACCAATTTACCAATTTACATTCCTATCAACAGTGTGCAAGGGTCTTCTTGTGTCCACATCTTTCCCAACATTTGTTATTTCTTTCTGATACTAGCCATTCTGACAGGTGTAAGGTTAAATATACCTCATTGTGGTTTTGATTTGCATATCCCTGATGATAAGTGATGTTGAATATCTTCTCATATACCTGTTGTCATCTGTATGTCTTCTTTGGAAAAATGTCTATTTAAGTCCTCTGTCCATCTTAAAAATAAACTGTTTTCTCTTTTTGCTCTTGAGTTGTATGAGTTCTTTATACATTTTAAATATTAACCTCCTATCAGATACATGATCTGTAAATGTTGTCTCCCATTCAGTAGTCTGATTTTTCATTTTGTTGATGGTTTCTCTTGCTGTGTAGCTTTTTATTTTGATGTTGTCCCACGAGTTTATTTTTGCTTTTGTTCCCTTTGCTTTTGGTGTCAAATCCAAAAAAATCATCCCTAAGACTGATGTCAAGGAGTCACTGCCTATGACTTTTTTTCTAAGAGTATTAAGGTTTCAGGTCTTACGTTCAAGCCTTTAATCCATTTTAAGTTAATTTTTTGTGCATGCTGTAAGATAGTGGTTCAGTTTCATTCTTTAACTCACCCAAATAATGAAGGCATTTTTGGTAAGGGTTGTGAATAATGGGGCTTTTGAGTCACACAGACCACTATTCCCATCTTAGCTTTGCCCTTGCTAGTTGCATTTCCTTATGAATCTTACTTGACTTCTATATGAGATTTTACTTCCATTGAGCCTTGTTGTCAGAAATGAACAAGTAGAAGCTGCTTGTTTTCAGCGCCACCATTATCATCATCATCATCTTATCTCAATGTGCTGTCATGATCAACTTAAAAGATCAAAATTTTAAAATCGACATCTAAGATTTTAGTGTAATGTGGTGAATTGTTTAAAACCCTCACCAGAACCCTCTGAAATAAGAGTAAAGAAAAGAAATTATAAATGTACAAAAAGAAAGAGGAGGAGAAAGACAAAAAGAAAGAGAGGAGAAACAGCAGATGAAAATAGCAATGAATTTTGGGCAAGTGAAAAGCAGAGAGAAATTTTTAAAAACCCTGAAATTTTAAAGGCTAAAGGGAAAGGGCAATTGTGTCCCACCCTGCCGAGGCTCAGGGGAAAAAGCTACCGTTATTGCAGAAGGTGAGAGGGAGGGACAAAGCTGGAAACAGATTAAAAATCTGTGCAAGGAGTGACTAACTCCCCAGGTTCCACGCCCAGTCCGTGCATCCATGAGAAGAGCCTATTCTCGGAAACTTTACCCCGAGAGCCCCCCCGTCTCAGCAGGAGCTGGAGCGGGCTAACGGGAGGCACCAAATGGGACATGTGGGTTTTAAATCAGTGTCTACACAGTGAACTCTTTCCTTGCTCATATCTATGTGAACTGGCAGCGGGACTTAAATACTTCATTCAGCTAATGCATCTTCGCAGAAGATCCTAGAAATACCCCCCAAACAACAACAAGAACAACAAACAAACAAAAAACCAACTCTAAATATCGACATTTGAAGATTTCTTAAAGTCTCTCAGTCACAAAGCCACACTCATACCTACAGTTTCTAGTCTGATGTTTAGAGTCTCCTTTAATATGAATGTAAGAATGGGTTACCAACTGGGAAAACTACCAGTGTGAGACTGACACATCTCCAAGCATAGAAGATCATGTGGTGGAGGGGAGCCTGGGTGGCCTAGTCGGTTGGGCGTCCGACTTTCGCTTAGGTCATGATCTCGCGGTTCGTGGGTTCGAGCCCTGCGTCGGGCTCTGTGCTGACAGCTCGGAGCCTGGCGCTGCTTCAGATTCTGTGTCTCCCTCTCTCTCTGACCCTCCCCTGCTCATGCTGTCTCTCTCTCTCTCTCTCTCTCTCTCTCTCTCTCTCTCACCCTCTCTCTCAGAAACAAAAAACATTTAAAAATAAAGGTAAATGCTATTTAAGAATATAGTGAAAATGTCAAAGCCTACTAAAAAATATTAACATCACCACTGATTACAGGAAAATAAACCAAAAATGCTTCTTAGAATCATTCTGATAAAATATTATACAAGAAATTATAGTTAACTCCTTGAGACAAAGTAAGTGCATAGTTGAATAAGTGATAAATCAATCAGTGGAGTCAAAACTGTACCTTTTGAAAATATATGTTATATAAAAAAATCTAAGTGAATAGATAGAGTTTAGTAATTAATAAGATAAAATATTATTGTTACTTGGTTAAAGATCAACTTGGAGCGCCTGGGTGGCTTAGCCGGTTAAGCGTCCGACTTTCGCTTAGGTCATGATCTCGCGGTTCGTGGGTTCGAGCCCCGCGTCGGGCTCTGTGCTGACTGTCAGCTCAGAGCCTGGAGCCTATTTCAGAGTCTGTATCTCCCTCTCTCTCTGACCCTCCCCTGCTCACGCTGTCTCTCTCTCTCTCTCTCTCTCCAAGGGAAAAAAAAAAAAAAGATCTGGTGGAAAGAGATCTAATGAAGAAAACAGGAGCATACTTCAAAAATTTTTCGCTAATGTAATCAAAGAAGATATGGTCCTAATGAAGTTGGAGTTGGATGCCTTTTTAAATAAAAGAAACATTAAGAGAAGATCTGGGCTATATATATATGTATATATATACATACATACATACATATATATATAAAGTGAAATATTCTGCTGAGAAGAATATTCTGAAATTCAGACTTAGTAAAAATAAAGTTGAAGTTCAATAGATTTATTGACCCTAATCATTTGTCAATATTTTCATATATATTATCTCATTTAATTAACACAAGAAAGGTTTTTTTTAAAAATCTCAATTCAATGGAAAATCTGTTTCCTTGCCATTATATTCATAAATTTGTTTAAAATAATAAGGGAAAGCAGCATTACTTCATCAGTTTTCACAGTTCTTTGCAATTCCTTTTTAATGTTTATTAATAAACTCCTTTTTAATATGTTTCTGAAGGAAAAATTCTTGGGAAAATTTTGTTTAAAATAAAAATAAATAGAACACAGAGCTTTGAATTACACAAAATTACACAAGCATGTATTACCTATGCTCTTGGGAAAAGAGCTCTCATATAAGACAGATTATGGTCCTTCCTGTACTAATTTGCACATGGGATGGGCATCACACGCACAAAAATTAATGTGGCCCCAAGGTCCCTGAGTATACAAAGGGGCTACTGTGAGCCTGCTGCTGCACTTACACTTTTTATCACTTCTGAATTGCATTTTAATAGTACATTTTTCTTTTGTGTCTGAACAAAATTTGCTTTCTCAAGGGAATGGATGGCTGAGCAGACAAGGCTGAAAGACTAAGTACTTTCCTGTCCATGAGTTAATTTTACTTTCATTCAGCCATAATGTTTCATTGAAGGAATATGTATGCATATTCTTAAGTGTATGTATGTATGTATGTGCATATGTAGGTATACATAGTAAACATATTTAGATGGTTTATAAATACTTTTCAAATATTTACTTCAAATTAGTAAGAAATTATTTAATTCTTAAATAGGATTTGCTCCATAAAAGTATAAACAGCTATGAAAATCCTAAAGACATCAATTCAGCTTAAAATCAAACTTTTAGAAAAATAT